TTACGGAGATGTTGAGCGAGTGATGTAGAAATCTTGGTCAATTTATGGAGATGTTGAGTGAGTGATCTAGAGATCTTGGTCAATTTACGGAGATGTTGAGTGAGTGATGTAGATATCTTGGTCAATTTATGTAGATGCTGGTGAGTGATCTAGAGATCTTGGTTAATTTAGGGAGATGCTGAGTGAGTAATCGAGAGATCTTGGTCAATTTATTGAGATGTTGAGTTAGTGATCTCGAGATCTTGGTTAATTTAGGGAGATGCTGAGTGAGTAATCGAGAGATCTTGGTCAATTTATGGAGATGTTGAGTTAGTGATCTAGAGATCTTGGTTAATTTAGAGAGATGCTGAGTGTGTAATCTAAGAGATCTTGGTCAATTTATGGAGATGTTGAGTGAGTGATCCAGAGATCTTGTTTAATTTAGGAAGATGTTGAGTGAGCGATCTAGAGATGTCTACATCCGTGTGGGTACATTGAGGCTATATACACATTTATCCTACGGAACAACGATAACACTATTCAGAGGCTAACACATTTCGGGATGCAACCAACCTTCTCATCCCGTCATCACTACATGCCATTTATATTTTTTTTAAAACAAAACATGTGCTTGATAAAATGTTTTGTTTTTGTGTGTTGATGTGTAATCGTAGCCAGCAGCGAGACGCTCACGCACACCAAAGGACACGCACACCCACTCTCGAATCGGGCGACTTCACCGCCGCGCGTTGTTCCTGGCAGTAAACAACCTGACCCCCGACAAGGCCATCCATAACTATGATAACACCAGTCAACCAACCACCATAGGACTGAATGGCGTTATGAGAAAAAAAAACAAAAAAACCTAGCCTTTCAGCCCACCACAAGCATAGAACCGAATGTCATCTCCATAATGGCAACCCGTCAATCCTACGATCATCACGAAGATTTCTTCATCACCGCCACACGTTTCTAAAGTTAATCCTAAGTCTCCCCGGGTCCCATGTCCTATTATTTAACGGCGAGGTCACTCAACGGCGATCTGCGTATGACAGTGAAGTGAATGGTGTTGACGGTGATTGAAGTTCACACCACTTGACGTGGTCCGCAGCAATGAACTGTCGCCACCAGGAAGTCAAGATCTACGTTTCGGCGACGCCAAAGCGTTTGACCGGTTTTATCCGGTATGTAGGACTGAAATTTCGGCAGGACTATTAACCAGCGCAAAACTATCCCATAAGGTCAGTGGTTCTCAACCCTTTTTCGAGTCTAGGAGCCGTTACGGCCTACAGGTTTTCCAAAGTTTTCCCTTTCTAATTCTAACAAGTATACTGCGAAACAGCGAATTTTAATTCCACCTCCCCCTCACGGTGCCACGCAGTTTGGGAACCTCTGCCTTAACGAGTCGATCCTTACAAAATTTAAAACGGAACTTCAGCCAGTGATGCAACAATTAAAAACATCCCTAACTCGGTTTAAAGTCAAAAGCTCTGTGAAAATATAAACAGAATGAGTTGCACCCACGAAGAACAATAGATGATTCATGTCAGGGTGTTCAAACGTTGGTCCACGTCCCGTCTTAGAGAACACCCACAAGAATCAGGCATCGCATCAATGCCTATACTTACAATAATTCGTTATAGACGCATTTGTAACATAACCACAGTCGCCACGATGAAAACAAGTTAACTGCGTGGGCCATGCTGTAATCATTAGGCATCGGCGGGACAAGTTGATAGCGTTGCTGTCCATCACAACTGAACCCACCCCCACCACACGCCATCCCCCCACCCCGCCAAACCCAAATTACAAATCTTGGGGTTCAAGAACAGGACACCCTAATGTGGTAACTGAAGATGTCACTGAAGCACGGATGCAATGGAGCAGGGGTCCTCAAATTTTTGAAACAAGGGGCCGGATTAGTGTCCGCGGGCACTGTCGAGGGGAGGGACTGATTAGAGTCCTCATGACATGTCGGGGGCGGCAGACTACAGATTTAAAAGATATATAAACGATTTCTATGCACACTGAATATATCTCAATTCTATGTACGCTGTACAAATCTCAATTCTATGCAGACTGCACATATCACAATTATATGCACATATCACAATTATATGCACAATGTACAAATCTCAATTATATGCACACTAAATATCTCAATTCTATGCACACTAAATATCTCAATTCTATGCACACTGCCCATATCTCAATTCTATGCACACTGCACATATCTCAATTATATGCACACTGTACTTATCTCAATTCAATGCACACTAAATATCTCAATTTTATGCACACTGCACACATCTCAATTTTATGCACACTGCACATATCTCAATTCTATGCACAAAGCACATATCTCAAGTCTATGCACACCAAATATCTCAATTATATATACACACTGTACATATCTCAATTCCATGCACACTAAATATCTCAATTCCATGCACACTAAATATCTCAATTCCATGCACACTAAATATCTCAATTCTATGCACACTGCACATATCCCAATTCTATGCACACTGCACATATCTCAATTCTATGGACACTGTACACATCTCATTTCTATGCACACTGTACATATCTCAATTCTATGCACACTAAATGTCTCAATTCTATGCACACTAAATATCTCAATTCTATGCACACTGCACATATCTCAATTATATGCACATATCTCAAGTATATGCACACTGTACATATCTCAATTCCATGCACACTAAATATCTCAATTATATGCACACTGCACATATCTCAATTCTATGCACATATCTCAATTATATGCACATTGTACATATCTCAATTCCATGCACACTAAATATCTCAATTCTATGCGCACTGTACATACCTCAATTCTATGCACACTGTACATATCTCAATTCTATGCACACTGCACATATCTCAATTCAATGCACACTGTACATAGAACAAAAATAGATGAACGAACTTGAAAAAAAAAAAAAACAACATTTCAAGCGGAAATCAATCCCACATAAACTTCATAGCATTTCAAAGGGAAGTAAGACTAATGATATGATCAATGTTCGGTTCCCTACTTCTCACTCCTAGCCATGTACCCTTGCGGCGGCCAGGCATGGCGGAAAGGACCCCCCCCCCCCTTCCTCGGTGGCCAGATCTGTGCATCAGGTCATGGTTTGAGCACCCCTGCATTTGATCCTTACGAAAGATCGCTGGATGCGATCCGTCGTGATTCAGTTCTCTATACAAGTGGGTGAGAGGGGGTATTTTTATTAGCTAGCTAACGCGTAAGAGAGAGAAACAAAATGCGTATAGGATTAGAATAGATCTCCAAACTGTACGTCCATGGTGAACTTATTAAAAGTGAAACAAACAAAAATATATCTAAGATTTACTATTCCGCGGTGCACTTATTAGAAGTGAAACAAAACATATCTAAGATTTACTATTCCGCGGTGCACTTATTAGAAGTGAAACAAAACATATCTAAGATTTACTATTCCGCGGTGCACTTATTAGAAGTGAAACAAAACATATCTAAGATTTACTATTCCGCGGGGCACTTATTAGACATGAAACAAAAGATATCTAAGATGCACTATTTGGCGCGGCGCACGTATTAGAATTTGACATAGGCATAGGGCACCTTCGGAATACCTGGATGCACTAAGGGCGCCGTGACTAGACAACGTTTGGGAACGCCTGGTACATAGGAAACCTAACGTGACCAATATAAAGAACGAATTGAGCAGTAGCTTCACACGGAATTTGACAAAAATTTTAAAAACATAAATTAGAATTAATAATTGAAAAAGACCCGGAAATAACAATGATCTCACCAATTTATTTCAACAACTCATCACGTGGTACACCATCTTCACCCATACCAAAGACAACGTTTACTTACTGTCAATCAAATCAGTTTCAGACCAATTCTTACATAAACATGAAATCCAATGTTTATATTCCAAATGTTTGTACACAAATCCCGGATGAATGGAGCGAGTTGAGCCTCCGTGACAATCTTCACGCGTCTTCTATTTTTATCCACCAATAGAAACCCACATAAGTGTACAATCCTTCCATTACCCCCCCCCCCGCGGGCCCTGGGGCGGCCCCCGTCCTATTCGT